TTTTTATTTTTATTTTGGCATGCCTACTAATGAAAGGTCCTTAAAAGCAGCCCTAAAACTGTTACACTAGATTTTATTTGGTCTAAAAGACTTGTTTAGATAACAGTAAAAGATGAAAAACTCACCTGAACCTGATTGCTGCCTGTCCAGTAATCAAGATCTTCTTTTGGACCCAATTCTTCTCCAAAAACTTGGCACAAAACAAGAAAAATCACTACAGCCGGTAAAAGAAATTTCATGTTGCACCCAGTAACTTGCCTTTTCTTTTCCCAAAGCTCTTTAAAGTATAAATCGCAAGCGTATGTTGTACGGTGTTCTGTCAGCTGTGCGTGAACGGGTTCCTCCACATGTAACTCAGTTCTTCACTGCGTCTTCCGTGACAGGACTGACTCGCGCTCGCGGCTTTATAGCAAAGCAACAGGGAGGTGACAGGTTCCTTCCGACACTTAAAATCGATAAAACAAATCAATGTATTAGTCAGATTGCTTTAAAACGCACAATGACGGATAGCACTCCTCTTTAATATTCTGCTCACATTGCTAGAGGAAGTAGCTAAAGTTGAAATGGTCGCGGTTTGGGCAGTCCGTGACTTTATGGACGTGCGCTGATCAGTATGTAGACTAGACTGCAGACAGGTGACGATACGATTGGCTAATTCGACGTAGGTTAAGTCCCGTCTACAAGCGAGCAAACATGAATGCAGATGACTCGTTCAAGACTTCTTTTGCGTCAAAGGGAGCTGATGTACAAATGAGAGGAACTAAACAAGAGACACTGGAAATACAGTATATTTGGGGCTCTCTATACTCTAAAAAATGCTGGGTTAAATACAACCCAATGCTGGGTAAAATAGGGACAAACCCAGCAATTAGGTTGTTTTGACCCAGCGGTTGGGTTACTACCCAGAAGGTTGGGTTAAACATTTAACACCCAGCACTGGGTTGTATTTAACCCAGCATTTTTTAGAGTGTACATCGACATCACTTGTTATAAAGCATTCTAGTTACAAAGAAAAATTAAGCTTTCTTCTGAAAAAGTACACTCTAAAAAATGCTGGGTTAAATACAACCCAGTGCTGGATAAAAATAGGGACAAACCCAGCAATTGGGTTGTTTTGACCAGGGGTTGGGTTAAAATGT